ATTCCTCACTTAAGCCTAAGAACACATACCTGAACTCTTATCATCAAGCTTCTTTCTTTTATTGTCTCGGATATGCATATGCCCAATGCAACCAAACACCTTTAAATGATCCACTGATGGTTTGAAGCCACACCATGCTTCCTTTGGGGTCTTGTCTTTTACTGTGAGTGTGGGGCATCGATTGATTAAATGAGAAATCCAATTAACATTTTTTGGCCAGAATTCCTTAGGGGTTTGTTTCTCCAAAAGCACGCAAATACTATATTCATGATTGCCTGGTCCTTTTGCTCTACAACTCCATTTTGTTATGAGGTATAGGCAGCAGTGAGTTGCCTTCGAATTCCATTTGTGCTGCAAAACTTATTAAATTCAAGTGAGGTGACCTCCCTACCTTGATCAGTACAAAGACAACAAATAGCATCTCCAAACTCCTTTTCTACCAAAGATTTAAACCTTTTGAACACAATAAAGGCTTATGACTTAGCATTCAAGAAATAAGTCCATAATTTCCTGCTATAATCATCTATGAATGTAATTATGTACCTCTTATGTCTGTTAGACTCAAGTGAGATGGGGCCAAAAATGTCCACATATACAAGTTGCAACCTTTTAGAAACTCTCTACAAACCCATTTTTGAAATAGACTCTCAATGTTGCTTGCCGACTATGCAAACATTGCATAATTTTGAGGGAGCTTTGAGGGAGGGGATGCCTTTCACCATCTTCTTGTACGGTAAAGTTTGCAAACCCTTGAAATTTAAATGTCCAAATCTATGGTGCCATAGATCAGTTTTATCTTCAAAGGTAGTTTGAAAGCATGTAGGAGTTGATGCTTGAGTTGACATTGAGGCAAGTAATATAAACATCCTATTATTAGACATGTGAGTTTGTACAATTAACCCCTTTTCAGTGATAAATCTTGCATACTCCACACTGTATTAGAAAAGTTAAGTTTCATTCTTGCAGTTGACCAATACTTAATACGTTATTTTTAAGCTTTAGTATATAAAACACATCATTTATTACCATATTTGCTCCTCTAACTGGTAACTTGATACTTCCTTTCCCCATGACTACCATTTTGGTGTTGTTCCCAAGCTTTACAATTTTCCTAAAGGTTTGATCTAAATGCAGCATCCAATGTATATTCTCAATCATGTGACTACTACAACCTAAGTCGAGGAACCACATTGCTTTATTTTTTCTTTTCAGAAATTTGAGGAACCACTTGAGCCATCAACAACATCTCTTCTTCATCAAGTTCTACTAAATAAGAACATTTCTCCCAACTTGGAGACTCATTTTGGAAGTGTCCTAGCTTGTGGCACTTGTAGCACTCTATAGTTGTTGAAAGCGTGTCTGCCTCTACCTCTTCCATAATCTCATACTATACTTCGACCACCTTTGTCTCTTCCTCTTATCCCTTCCTCATGAGTGATCTTCAAGGCTTGCTCATCTCCTCTATTGTGATTGTTCATTCTCTGCTCATGTACAAGTAGGCTGCTTTAGAGTTCATTTACTGTTATCTTATCAAGATCATTTGACTCTTCCACTGAGCATACAACATAATTGAATTTGGAAGTCATTGATCGTAAAATATTCTCAATAATTACAATTTTCCCCATCTTTTCTCCATGAGCTTTCACCTTGTTTGTAATTCTTAACATCCGAGCAAAATACTTATCCACCATCTCTCCTTCTTTCATCTGAAGTACTTCAAATTCTCTTCTTATAAGCATGCAATTTAGCCCTTTTTACTCATGTTGAACCCTAATACTTTTGTCTCATTGAGTCCCATATGCTCTTCGAACTCCCCTTATCATAGATAGTTTCCAAGATACTTTGATCAATGACCTAGAAAAAGGTAATTTTTTACCATTAGATCTTTTAGTCGTTGTTCCTCAATTAGTTTTGTGTTCTGTTGGCTCAACCCCATCTGCTACTATAAAAATTCTTGTCTCCACCAAATGCCAATACTTTTTAGATCAAAGAAGATTCTCCATGAGCATAGCCCAATGATCATAATGTTTATCAAACTTGGGTATGGCAGGTTGCACAAAACTGCTTCCTTCCATTGCCATCTCTCCTCCCTTTTTGATCTTACAATGTGTTGCTCTTTCACACTTTTTTCTTTCGTGAGAAGATTGTAGTTCCTAACTTTACTTGACCAGGTCCCTTTTAATCTTGGGCTGATACCATTTGTTGAACTCCCAAGCTCTAAATGTGATGCACAAAGATTGAAGTTCAAAGCTTCTTTATTATTGAAACAATACTAATATAACTTTTGTATAAGCCTTACAAAAAAAAAAGATGACTACCACATTCACATGACTAAAGACGTGGGAGTTTATTCTAGTAACAGAATACCCAACATAAACTAGAGTGCTTATAATGTAGGAAAACATAAGCAACAACTAACGGTAACAAATATAATTGACTAAGTCACCAAAAATAACAAACAATCTTAACAGGAAAAACAATAATGACAGAAAAATAGTAAAAAAAATATTAAAATAATGAAGAAGGTGAAAAGTAATATTAAAATAATGAAGAAGGTAAAATAATTGGCTAAAAGATTTATTACTTCTTTATTCATTAAAGATGTCGTAATTTAATTTACTAATGTAGGTTATTTTTCAATTTTTATTTTATTTTTTAAACTTTTGATCATGTATATGTATATTGTGTGTTGGTAGGAGAGTATCCACATTAAGAGAGATGAGAATAATTGTTATATAATTTTTTTTAACTTATATTTAAATAAAAAAATTTACTCTTATAAAAAAAATAGACATTGCACTCATAAAATATTTTTGTTTTAAATGAGTGTATAAATTTAGAGGACGCTAAAAGAAAATAAATTAATAATTTTATTATTTTTATCCAATTAATTTTTATTATTTTATTTCTCTAATCTTAAATAAGTTGCAAAAAATTATAAAATGACACTTAAATATAACTTCAGACAGAAAGAAAAAAGAAAAAATTATCACTCTATTTATAAGACAATTATATTTTATAAAAATAAGTTATTTTAAAATTTTTACTATAAAAAAATATTTTTCAAAATTATTATATTTTTTAGTAAAAAAAATATAAAATATTCTATTGTCCCCACTTAACAAATTTTCTGGATTCCGTCGCATACGCTCTTTAATTTCTTAAACTTTCCAAAATACCCTTATCTCCATATACACCCAACTCTTCCCCTTCATCTTCCTAAACTTCCTCGTTGCTATCACTCCATTCTTATTTTCTTCTTGGTTGGTCCTTCATCTTCGCGAATAGGTAATTTCGTTTTTTAATTTTTTTTTGTTTTGGTCGTTCCAGATTGATCAACCCAGATGTTAAAATAATATCATTTGGATCAATCTGAACACTCATTCCAGACGCTATAATGCTTTGGAACACTCAATATAGAGTATGCAAAATGGGAGTTCCGGACACTATGCAAGAATAGTTTGGATATTTTAGAAAGATATGATGGGTGTATGAGACAAATAACTGGGTGCAGGAAGAAATTTCCGCTTGAATGTTGGACTGTTCGAAGATGGCCATGCATGAAATCTCAAGAGGGGTGGCCCATTAGTTGAAACCGGAAATTAAACCCAAGGGCAAGCCCATTATGTACCGTTCCCCTTTTCAATTTGAAAATATCATATCCAACATGAATGGTTATGCAAGTTGCCCGCATTAATTAAATGCTATCGGTTTCCCTTACCAATTATCATTCCCCGAAAATAGAACATTTCTCAATGTTTTCAAAGCTAAACTAGTATCAATAAAAATAGATATTAAAACTGAGTTAATCATCCATACATTATCAGTGTAAAAAATTTTATACCAACAACTAATCATATTTTTTAAAATTATTTATTTTATTATTATTTCATTAAATAAGCAACTGACATGATACTATTAAAAGATATAATTAGTTACCAGTGTAAAAAAACTTTACGGTAATAATATATAAGTAATTAACTCATTAAAACTACCCAATATCTCCGATATCTTCTGCTTATGCATATTAAAATTGAGATTTGATTTGAAGTAATCTCCACGATGTCTATTAAAACCAGTGACCATGCACAATTTGTAATAATTAAAAATAATAATAAAGTCAATCAAGCAGTATCTCACTGGTCAAGTATTTTTGTCTTGCGTTTTTTCTTCCTCATGATGTGTGACACACTGACACCTTCAGGTTCATGCCCCAAAATAGTTGTATTTAAATTTCTGCCACAAAATATTAAAAGAAATTCTATGGTACCCATCTTATTTGAGAGGGTACCGGTACAGTCTTTTATATTTTATATTTTTAATAATTTATTTAAATAATATTTATGATATTTTATTTTTTCAATTTTTAAATTATTTAGTCATTTTATTTTTATTTTATATATTCTAATTTATTTGTAATAATATTATTATATATTTAAATAGTTTAATTTTAATAATTTTTTAAGTATATTTTTATCTTTTCACTTAAAATTTTTGAATTTTTATATTTTAATTTTAATAATTTTTTAAGTATATTTTTTATTTTTTTGTCTTAAATTTTTGAATTTCTATATTGTAATTTTAATAACTTTTTATTTCTACTATTTATTAATTTTTCCTTTTTTAATATTTTATAATATTATTAAAATCTTATAATTTTAATCTCTATAATTTTATCTTACTTTTTATTTTATAAGTATAATTTAAATTATTCATTTTATAATTAAATTAATTTTTTAAATTTTTTATAAATTTACATAAAAAAATGTATTAAAACCCCTCAATTTTAGAAGGTACCGTAGCAACTCCCAAATATTAATATCAGCTGCTGAGTCAATACTATTTGCATGAGTTTTGAATATTTGACCATTCCTAATGGCTGATGCCAAGTGATGGTACTCGTATTAATGAGGAGTGCAACAGAAATAAATGAACAGAGACAAATCAAGTAAATATGGTCGGCAACACAGGATAAAGTTTTGCATATAACAATTTCCTGCAAAAATATTGTTCAATGCAAAAACAGTTAAATATATTCTACAGTGACTTTTATTATACAATTTTTAACGGCATTTAAAGACAATGCCATGATTGAAACCGGAAAGTTTCTTGACATTTCTTACAATTGCTATTTCAAGTACTATAATAGCTAGCCTAAGCAAGAACTAATATTTAAGTACCAAAGTTAAAGTGAAAATTGAAGCTGATTATTTTGATGTTCACCACCTAACTCAAACTAAGCTTCCCTGATGATCATTATCAGAGGCGTCTTCCTGAAAATAAGGAGAGAGTTTTCCACTCATGGATTTGGGAAGTGCAGTTACTTCCTTCAGCATTTTCACCACTCTACGCATTGAAGGGCGAGTTATAGGAAGAGAGCTGGTGCAAAGAAGCCCCACGTTGAGTACCTTGCTGATTTCTTCTCTGTGCTGAACATCTAGAGTAGGATCAATCACCTGATCTTGTCCTTTCTGATCCAATGTGGAGTGAACCCATTTTACTAGATCCTTTTCCCCATACTCTTGATCAAGAGGGGGTTTCCCAGTCACCAACTCCAAAATCACCACCCCAAAGCTATATATATCACTTTTTTCATTCACCCTAAGGGTATAAGCATATTCTGCATCACATTGAACCATCAAATGCATATTAATTAATTATGCGCATAAATGACCTACATGCTGACTGATAATGGTTTCCCTACCATATAGGGTATTAGGGTTGGATATGAATTCATTTATCAAAATAAAATTCAAAACGTTGGTAATAAATCAAGTTTAAGGTTCTTACCTGGCGCAATGTAACCATAAGATCCGGCAATCACAGACATGGATTCTGCACCTTGGTTGGGTCCATTAACAATTTTGGCAACTCCAAAATCAGCAACTTTTGCTCCAAATTCATCATCTAGCAAGATATTGCTAGATTTGACATCCCTATGAACAATAGGCGGGACACAATCATGATGCAAATATGAAAGACCCTCCGCGGCATCAATAGCAATTTTATATCTGGTGGCCCAATCCAACAAACCTTTCTTGCTACTATGCAACAAATCAGCCAAACTTCCATTAGGCATGTACTCATAAACCAACAGCTTGCTATCCCTATTATTGCAGCAACACCATAACCTCACAATATTCTTGTGCCGAATCTTCCCCAATGTTTCAACCTCAATCTCAAAACCATCCTTCTCAGAATCAGAGGCTCCATTATTTCCCATCTTGTTTGCTCCCAACAATTTCTTCACTGCCACCACCTCTCCATTGCTCAGTGCGACTTTGTAAACCTTCCCAGAGGCTCCACTACCTATGACATTATCCTCGCTCAGCAATTTAACAATCTCAAACTCACTAAAACCCAGCTTATGAAACGACCTCCACTTGGAAATGTGAAACCCCTTTTTCATCTTCTTGAAGTCACGGAACTTGAAGTAAAACCATGCCACACCAACAATTAACACAATCCCAGCAAGCACAAATATGAACCGGAAAATCCACACATACTTCCTGCTCTTACCCTCACTCTCACCCAAGCTTGGACACAATCCAGAGAGAGCCCTACACAGCCCTGGATTCCCAAGAAAACTCTTTCTATAATTATCATTGGCATAAAGAGGAGGAATCTCCCCGGAAAGCTGATTGTTCGACAAATTCAACAAATTCAGCTTCAAATTCTGCAGCTCAATTGGAATCTCACCCGAAAACCGGTTCCCAGAAAGATCAAGATAATTAAGCCCCGGCAAGTTTCCCAACTCCTTAGGAACATTCCCATCTAACCTATTATTCGCCAAATCAAGCTCATTCAGCTTCTTCCAACCACCAACTCCAACAGGAATTTCCCCGAAAAGCTTATTGTCTCTGAGAACAAGCCTATCCAACTGACTCAACCGAACGATACTACTCGGAATCCTACCAGTGAGACTATTATGACTTGCAACAAACTCCTCAAGACTCACCAACTCCCCAATCCCCTCAGGAACCGACCCAGAAAACTTATTCCCCGAAATTAACAAAATTGACAAATTTCTCGCCCCGGAAACCGCATTAGAAATCGACCCAGAAAGAGAATTCTCAACAAGCTCCAACAAATACAAATGGGGCAAACCCCATAGCCCCTCAGGCACAACACCAGAGAGGTTATTGTTCCTAAACCGAACCCTCCTCAAACTCTTGCACTCGCCGAGACTCTCGGGGATCCTCCCGGAGAAAGAATTGTAAATCAGAATCAGCTCCTCCAAGACTCCTCCGGCGCACAACCTCGCCGGAATCTCGCCGGAAAACCGGTTATACGAAACATCAAGCCTCTGCAACTTGGAGCCACCCCCCAACCCACGCGGTAACGACCCATTGAGCGAGTTGTTGAACAGTTTCACCTCATACAAGCTCTCCGACAACACTATACTCTCCGGCAAGGCCCCCTCGAGTTTGTTATCATACAAGTTAAGCGACCCGAGTTTCCTCAACCCGCACAACTCATCGGGAATCGTCCCTGTCAACTCGTTCGCGGAGGCATCGAATCGTTCTAAATGAGTAAGGTTAACGAACGCGGCGCGTGGCAACGCCCCGGAGAGAGAGTTCTGGTAGAGTTCGATTTGAACAATGCTGTTCAAACCCGACACGAGTTGTTCAGGTATGTTTCCGACGAGGGTGTTCATGGACAAGTCGAGATTCCGAAGTTTGGTTAACTTCCCTAAAGAATGCGGAATGGGGCCCACAAGGTCGCACCCTGCGAGCCAAAGCTCCTCGAGATTGGTGAGGTTGCCGAACTCTTGGGGAATGGGACCGGCGTTGAAGGTGTTGTAAGCGAGGTGAAGCTTTTTGAGGGTGGAAAGGTTTCCGAGGGAAGAGGGAATGGTTCCATTGATGAGGTTGCTGACGAGGGACAGATATTCGAGTCGTCGGAAAGTGCCGAAGGTGGCCGGAATCTCGCCGGAGAAGTTGTTGGAGGAGAGGTCGAGGTATTCGAGGGAAGGGAGGTTGGCGAGGGCGGCGGGGAGGGGGCCGGAGATGAGATTCTGGGAGAGGTCGAGGTGGCGGAGTGCGGCGCAGGCGGAGAAGGCGGCGGAGGGGAGGGCGGCGTTGAGGTTGTTGAGGGCGAGGGAGAGGTTGGAGAGGGCGGGGAGGCGGCAGAGGGGGGCGGCGGGGACTGGGCCGGAGAGCTGGAGGTTGGAGAGGTCAAGGACGGTGACGGCGGCGGAGGAGGGGTGGCAGGTGACGTAGGTCCAGTTGCATGGGGTGGCGTCGCGGCGGTTCCATGAAGCGAGGGCGTTGGTGGGGTCGGAGAGTTGGAGCCTGGCTTGGAGGAGGAAGAGGCCGTCTTGGTTTAGAGAGAGAGTGGTGGTTAGAGAGAGAAAGAGAAAGAGTGATGATAGGTGGAAGGTGTTAAGGTGAAGCATGGTTGTTGTTGTTGTTGCCAACTTGTGCGAGTGAACTGAACTGAAGTAAACAAAACTAACGTAGTACCATGCCTTCTTATTTTCTCATCTTTCTTTTCACGCGCCTATTTTCACACTCTCTGCTTGCTTTTTCTCTCCTTCTCAAATCACCACCGTTCCTTACATTCTCTCTCAAAGGTTCAGATCTTGCAGTATTTTCGCCCCGTGGGATTTTGGCCGGAGAGGATCTTAATCTCTAAACCATCACGTTTGCATATTTATGTTCAATTTAACCGTTGTTTGTTTCAGGTAATTACGATTTACCACAACACAAGTTTACGGTATAAGGAAAAAAATAAATTGTTTAGAAAATGAGGGAAGAAAGAAAAGGACAAAATATCACCATCCATGGTAAAAATAAGATTAAAATATTTTTTATGCCCAAGTAAAACCTACTCATGTTCAATCATTATTCATGAAAAAAATTATTTATTTAAATTAATAAAACTTTTATTTAAATATATTTTCTTTTAAAAACAAAAACTTTCATTCGAATAAATATAATTCAATTCAAATAGAATTATGCTTATTTAAATGAAATTCAATTCAAATAGAATTATATTTATTCAAATAAAACATAAATTTTATTTATTTATTTTTAATTTATTATTTTGATTAATTTTTAATCTAAAATATTACTTTAGAATTATTTATTTTATTTGAAAATATTATTTATTTAAGTATATGATTTTTTTATCTAAATGTTTAAAATAAAAATTAATAAAAAATATTTTTTACTCTATTATTTCTTTATTTTTCAATTTTTAATATATTTTATTTTTTATATATATATTTCTTTCTATTTTACTAAACATAAATAATATTATTTCTCACATCTCTTCAATTAAACAATTAAATTTTCATTATACCTTTTTATCTATTTTCACTCACTTATTTCTGTCTTTTCTATTTTTCATTTGTTTATTTTTTCTATGCCAAATACACCATAAGAGAAATAAGTAGAAAGTAAAAGAAAAATAGTATTATAAAAATGTTGATTTGGAATGGATGAAGATGAAAGGAATTATAGTTAAATAAAAATTATAAATTTACTCTTTTAAGTTAAGTACGTTTAATTTTTTAAATTTCTTTTATTTGTTTAAATTCCCTTTTCATTTGAATAAGCCAAAATTATTTCTTTTATTTGATTAAATTCATTTTTCATTCGAATGAAAGTGTGATGTATTCAAATAAAAAACACATGTATTCAAATAAAGTATATTACATATTCAAATACAAGACATGACCATTAAAGTCCTTACATTCAAATACCACACCCAAGCATTTGAAAAAAAACTCCACCCATTTGAATACAATTTTGAAATACCTGCATAATTAAACATTCGAATAAAGCACCCAAAATTATATTTGAATAAATGCAACCTCATTCGAATAAAACACACAATCAAATGCAAACCCATTCAAATATATAACACACACAAATAGAAACTCATTTAAATAAAAGTAAATAACTAACATACCCATTTGAAAAGAAAAAAAATCATATTCAAATACTATATATAACACCCACAATGATCCATATTAACTATTCGAATACACATGATCGAACAACACACTTTCATGAGAACAGAGTATGATTATTAGAGCTACTTCGGGTATTTTTAGCTATTCGAATGAGAGTTTTACAACTTTCTTTCATATTTGGAGGAGAGAAGTTTTGAAGGGATTAAACGTGTGAGTGCATATTTGGGTTTCAATTCTAACGTGAATTCGTTTAGTTAAAGTAAAAAAAATTTATTTTCCGTAAAATTCATATTTAATGTAAACGTTTGAAAATCTAATCCAAACATGCAGTGAGAAAAAGAAGCTCGCCTCTCTCTTCACTATTTATTGACTCCTAATAAATTTTCTACTGAGATAATTTATGGTGTTTTTTCACATCAAATGCATTCCTCAGCTAATAGTCGTCAGATATAAATTTTTTCAGAGTATGAAATTGTTGAAATAATTTTTTTCTCTTCTAACATTATCTGAAAATTATTTTATTCATATGTATTGGTCGGAAAACAGACCTCTATACCTAATAATATTCTCAGTTATCTGAAAATTATACTAGATGTTATTGGTTGTTAGTTTATCATTTAGCTATATATGCTAAACAGAATCTTAATATCTTGATATAGGTGCACTCACAGGTCAATAAATAGAAATTTTTAAAAATCTGTGATAAAAATGCTTTATTAATTAGCATTAGATATTGTATTTCCTTCAATGATTACGTAGTGCGTATATTTGACTAGATGAAGCGAGGGACAGACAATCATTAATGCCCAACTGCAAAATGGCCAATGAATATGCAACTTCAATTATTTGCCTAAGATTGGAAGAGTTGCAGGGCATGAGTTGATTTATGAGTATGAGGGAAGACCTTTGTGCCTGTGCATATAAAGATATGGTCCACATTCATAAACAACCATATGCTAGGACAATGGTGCTGTTACTTTCATCCATGCACGGAATTCCATCTTGGTAAATGGACTGAACTTACGGTTCACATATTTACATATTTAATTATATATGTTTATCTAAATGCTTTCTAACTTGAACAGAATTTCGACTCTAGTAATACAAACATTCACACATGACACGTTTAAAATAGAATATATTCACACGAACACGATCTCCCCATGATTACTTTTTCCTTTCTTTCCTTCTTTTCTTTTTAATTGTAACTAGTATACATGAATTATTGGATATATTTCTGTCTGTGAATTGCAATATCCAGACACAAATATGCAGCATGATGGCACATGAAAAGTTGATTAATCAAATTTAAATTATTCGGTAGCACATGCAAACAATAGCACTATGTACAGTGATCACCGAAAATGATTAGGTATTTTGAAGGCAGAGTGTGAAAGTATGAGTCAACGTGACATGGAAAAGAAACAAAAAGACAGAGAAAGGTGTTGATGATAATGAAAAAGATTGGTTCCAAATTCCGAAGAGATGGATTGAGGGGTGCCTCTGTAGTCTGAAATGTACAGTGGTATAGTCAAATACTTTGAACGTAAAAGACAAGTTTGAAACTTATGTTTTCAGTGGTCGTGTCACAAACCAGAATGCCACTGTACAATCCAACAACTTTCTGCTTGCCTTTTTGACTCTTCGCCCCAAATTTTTTATTTTTAAGTGTCAAAATCATATTTTAGCTAGCCTATAATTCGTTTAAATATTTAAATTCAACTATAATTTATTTATTAATATACCTCTCTACATGTTTGAAGTGATGTTTCATTTATATTTTGTAAAGGTATATAGAAAAAAAAAAAAAAAGCTAATTTACACTCGCTTTTTTTAAATAATAATAATTTCACTTAAATCACAAATCAATTATAAAAATAATTATTTAATTTTTATAATTATTTATTAGTCCTAAATATCTATTAATTTCATCAATTATTGATATCATCATTAATAAATTTTTGTTAAAAAATTTGGTTGATTATTTTTTAAATAAAGTTTTTGTCTTAATCATATTTTTTATTTATAAAATTTAAATTTAAAATATTATTTAAATGAGTGTGATGTGACATAATTGAAGGATTTATTTTGCACCATATATATCCACTTAATCCTATCTCTCTACTTAAGTCTCAAATTTCTACAAATTTGTTTGTAAGCTCAAATGACGTTAACATAAAGACTTCAAAGTCAAGCAATATATTTAAAATACTTATTTATGTGTGGTGAGTATATGTTAACATGGATCAAAGTTAATTAAATTATATCTTTAATTAGTTATTATAAATAAAAATTTAATCAATTTAACTACAAAATTATATGATAAAATTTATGATCATGCATGTAAACAAAATATAATTTAGATATTTTAATAAGTTATTTAACAATAAACATTTATATTTATTTTAAATATTATATATTAAAATAAAATGATATAATGAATTATAAAATAATTTTATAATTATATAAAATGTTATATATGTATTGAATATAATGTTTGAATTAATTAAATTAATATTATAAAGAATAATTAAAAAAATAATTTCACTTACTTTTAACACTTAATATTAACCAATCATAATATATGTTGAGATACAAATAAGATTACACATTAATGAAATAAGAATAAATAAATAAAAATTTATAAAATATACATATACTCCAATCATTAAAAAATCTTTTAAGTAATAATTAAAATAAATTTATAAAAATTTAAGTTCAAAATAGAGTTATATGTATAATAACTTTATTAAAATAATAAAATTATAAATTCTTCTCCTTAATATAAATTTTTATATAAATAAATATAATAAAATAACTTCAACAATAAAAATATATAATCTAAAAAACATAAACCTTGCACGTCAGTCTTCTTAATTTTATGGTGAAAGACTGATATCTTATCAATATAATGAAATTTATTTTCTATATTTCACTTCTTTCTTTCACAATTCCTTTTCAACTTTTTATTAAATAATTTTATTTTTTAAAATAACTGTACGTGTCAATCAAACATATTAAAAAGAGATTAATTATAAATATAATATCTTTTTGAAAATATTTTACTTAAATGTAATATTATATGATGAAATAAATATTTCTTTCTTATATTTTTATACAATGACTTAAAAAGGGTATCGTTAAAAATATAATACATGTAAGTATTAAATTATTTGATATATATTCATACATAATTTTAGAATTAATTTTGAATAAATTAAACAATATATATTATGTATTTATTATAGTTTATATGTATTTATAGTTTTAAATAATTATAATAATATAATTATAAATAAAATAACTTTTTAATAACAAATATTGTGTTAGAATATTTGTGAGACTATTTTTAATAATGAATACCAATTTATAACTAATAAATGCCAACCACATTATTTAATTTTTTTTATAATATCCGAATCATTAATAAATGTTTTAATTGACTAAATTGCCTTAGTTATTTTAGATATAGAAAACACCTAAGTTATTTTTGTTGGGAACATCACCATCGTTTTTATATAATGAAATATTATCTTAGCTTTAAATTTTTTAGAAATTTATAAATTTGATGTGAAAAATATGCTATAAAGTAGAATATATATATATAAGTAATTTATTTATTTCACAAAAAAAATCCCGCTGTCTTTCTTTAACAAGCCC